TTTGAAATAAAAATCTAAAATTACTTCAAAAACTTCTCATCTTGCAACAGGTATTCTGATTTCAAATTTGTTGCATAACATAGTAATTCAAATTTAGCCACTATGCAAACGGTGAGGAGCAATGAAATTCACCACTAGGAGGCGTAACTCAAAGTTTTTCATCGTTCATGTTTGAGGGCACCTCTGAAGCCCCCCACTTGATACTATAATCCACCAGGCCCTCCGGCGTCGCCTATATATTATGTCCTGACCTCATGGCCTCAACTATCTCCTCACTGGTTAAAAGATTTGCGACCCCAAAAGATGAAGCAACCATCCTAAGATCTATACTCCCTTGATCAGAGCCCTCGCCGGAGTTTGCAGCCATTTGTGAAATTCATGTTTTTTTAGAAGAAATGAAAGTAGATCGAAAAAAGTAGAAACAAAAAAATAATAATAAATAAATAAATCCTTTACCTAAAACTTATTTGGCTGCTAGAGCTTAGACGAAATCACAAAAAAGTTGTTGGAAGTTCAACAAGGTCGTCAGAATTCTTTCAACAGTTTTTTGAGTGAGTGCTGAGCGAGTGAAAAATGCCAAGTAAAAAATTTCAACCAATGAACAAAGCCTCCTTACTATAGGCAGGGCCTCGTCCTCAGCCGTTGGATCAAATCAAGATTAATATGTGTTGTCCATATATTAGCTTCATCTGAACCCTCAAACCCAAATGCGCCATTTTGAAATTGCATTAAGGATCGGGATAAATCTGAGCATTTCAGCACGCGTAGAGGCGCATCTCATCAGAAAACGTAACGACATGCCATCATTACCATTGAAGGCCTCAGCGAACGCGTGCATTGAAATCAAGCAATGTCTTTGTTGTCGTCTCTTGAAAACACTTCACCTTTCAAATTATTATCATGCGTCCCATCAATGTCTAGTCACATCAGAGGCATAGCTTCGAATCTAACTTTTCACTTGTAAAGGCTTTGTCCCTTATACATCGGCCCTGCAATCGTGCTTCTCTTAATAAAAGTGGCGTCATCCTTGAAACATGAGGCTTCATCTTTGCAACTATATTTCCTTTATGTATTGGGGACCTCGCCTCCGTAGCAACGCTTCGACCGTGCGAACATGCTTCACCCACATGTTAGGCCTTCGTCCCTACAAT